AAAAAATCTAAAATATTAAAACAAAAAAAAAGTATTTTTAAAATAGTTTAATCTACATGCACATATGTACATACGTATATAAATTTTTGTAATAATGTAATAATGATGTATGAAAAATATATTTTAAAAAATTTTCACTTATTTTTTCAACTACACCATATTACTACACCCGCTATGTTTATTATCCATTTAAATATTTTAATACTTATTTACAAAACCAGTATTTTTGAGAAGTGTGTGTAGGTTTTTTATTTATTTGTTTTCATGTTTTTATTTACAACAGTTTACATTTAACTACATGAATTTCATCAAGAAGGAGTAGTGTTGTTGCCTACGAAGTTAGTTCAAAAATATAGCGTAGCAGAATCAGTTATTTTGATTTGTATATTTATGTTTTTTTTTTTGTTTTTGTTATTGCAAGTTGGCAGTTTTTCATATATGTAAGTATGTTTAAATATTATATAACTCGTTAGTTTAAATGAACAGTAAGCGGAAGAAAAATGAAAACACATAAACTCTTTTGCGAAATTATAGTCTTTCTAAAATAAAAAAAAATAAAAGTGCTCAGCAAGAAGCGCTTCAAATCGAGTAAAAATTAAATTTCAGTTACAGACCAATTGATGATTTAATATTTTATATAACTAAAATAACACATATTCGTAGAAATTCAATATCCCTTATGCCTACAGTCAACAAAAACTCAATGGTCAAGAAACATCATGTGAATAAAATTTCAGCCTAAAAGATACTACAGAAAATGAGAAATACCGGTGGTGACATAGGGGCGCTACCACAGTGTACACTATTGTAGAACTAGTCTCTTCATTTATTTTTGTGTTACACAAGTAATATTTCTAGGCAAAGATAGTTAAAATAAAGGTTCATATAAGAGATGGTGATACTGAAGGGAGCTAAACAATTTCAAACATCAGAATGAATTCGGACTGAACACAATTGTTTCAGCAGTAAAAATAAACGATTTTATACAGTTATAATAATGTCAAATATTGATATCTGACCAAGTATTCATGCACTCCGCTTAACTTTGAATATTTTTTACCTGGCAGCTAAATTTACCAAATATTAAAGCTTAAGAAAAGATGGTAGTCACAGGCTTCAAGGTTTTGAAAATTTAAAAGAAATTTTTACACAATATTTGTTCCAATATTTATGTACATATGTATGTTATAGGTATACAAATAAAAACGTATTTTCTTCTAATGCCTAGTTGGAACAGCCTTGAGCCTTTTACTAAGTCGAAAAATTTTTTCAAAAAAATTTTTTTTCTTCCAAAACTGCCTTTCAATCAATATTTACCTTTATAATAGTAAACTTAATTAAGCCTCACCAAATTAAACACAAAATAAAAAGTCAATTTGTTTTTATCTTTTTGCGAGTTTTGAGATAAATCCAAAAAATCATATTTATTCAAAACTACTTTTATAATATATAATTTTTTTTGCATTTTTTTAAATAAACGTTTTTATAATTGAAAAAATATATGTATGTATGTAAAAATACAAAATATATTTTTTAGCATTAATTGTGTATGTGTGTATGTAAATGTAATTGTAGGTATTTCTTGTAAATAATTGTATAAAATAAAAAAAATTTGCACACAAAAGCACAAAACCTAAACTAAAAAAATGTGTATAAAAACAAAAAAATGTCGAAAAACGGTTGCAACATAGAATTCAGCATAAAACATAAGCATATGCAACATGTGATTACAGCTATGCAACGCACAAACACATGTATATGTGTGTCGTTGCTTTTAATAAATATATTTTAAAGAAAAAATTTTAAATAAAAAA